GGCGGTCCTGGCCCTCGGGAGCGCAGCTGGGCAGAGTCGTGCCGGTTTTGCTCTCTCTGAAGGCAGCCGTCGCCGGGCGGGACGTCGTTACTTGCTGTTCGCAGCTGGGACGCTTGTGCAGAGTCTCCTGGTCCCTCCCTGGGCTTTTCCTTCCTAGCTCAATGCCCGAAATGTTTCGGTATTTGGCTACTCTGCTCACCTCAGCAAAGATCAGTGGTTGTCTTCTTAAGCTTTAAGTATAACTTACTTGCTTAAAAAAGTTGTCGGTGGGTAAACGGAGGAGCTTGTTGACTTACCCTTTCAGTAGGGCTCCGAAAAGATCTCTCATGAGAAACAGCTGCATGCTGAGAGTAAGAAAACATTGCGCTGACTCGAAGGCCATAGCTAGAAAGAAAACATAAAAAGTCAGGGTTGTTAATGACAAAGCAATAACTGCAGCTATGCTACGGTTCTATATCGTATTTTCTGTTCCGTGTATTCAGGTTTCTATACTTGAGTTATTTGGGTGGTGAATGGCAGCCTTTGATGTCACTGTTATCAGCCGAAGCTTGAGAAGACTGAAAATTTCCTAAGTGACAAATGGAGAGATTAATGATTCTTAACCTCTCTGAGTGGATGTGCTGCTTCTTTTCGGTGAAGACTAAGAAAAGCATATTTAAAACACATGCTCAGTCATGAATAAAAATATTTCCATTACATCAAGCTGCATACAAATTCAGAAAAGTGTTTTAAGCTGGTGGGGATAGCCACCAGTTCTTAGTAGCTTAGAAAAAGAGCTTTCTATTTTTTTTAATGTAGTCAGTTTCTAGTTGTTAAATCTTGTTAAAAATGGGAAAACTATGCATTATTTTTGCTCAGTGACCAAGACTTAACAGTGATGTATTAACAGCTTATCATTTTCCTTATGAATTTGAATAGTTTTAGTTTGTAGGACTGCTGTAAAGTGCAGTTTCCTATGCAGTATTTTGAAATACCACTAATTTCTCAACTTTTTTCCTGAAATGTGAATGGTAGACTTGGTCATTGTGTCGGTGCTAAGAGCTACAAAAACAGTCTCGTATTCAAAATTTTCCAGTGAATACATCCAAGAGTTGCATTAACCTTTTTGACCACTGCATCAGGCCTGGAACTCATGTTCAGATGATTATTTAACAGTAACACCATTGCCCTCATCCCTAAACTGTTCACACAGTACGTTTCTGTTTCTTACGTTCTTTCTGTAAGAATGATGAGTTCTGTTCGTTCTGAGGTAACAGAATCTTTGCACTTCATATTATTTACTTCAGCATAATCGTTCTGGTCATGCTTTAACTTCTTCCAGTCTTTATTATCCATAAGCACTAATCAGTAGTAATTTTCTTTCTTTAATTACAAACTAATTCTTCTGGTCTGACTGCTCTTGTGTCCCTTAACTTATTCTATAGTTTTACTAAATCCCTTCGGAGTGAAATACATCTTTGATTCTCCTCCCTTAAATAGGTTTGCAAATAGTTCCACTTAATTAATTTACAGGTAACTGCAGGTGTTTCCAATAATCGGGAGGCTGTGGAGAACGTGATGGTGGTGGGGCTTGTTGCTTTTAGTACCGGTGGCTTCTCTTCCTGTTAATTCATAGAGTGTCTGAAGGAAAAGGTAGAATCCCTTTGTATGCCAAAATGGAAAGTAGTTGGTGACACCTACTCATATGATCATAGAGCTCAGAAAGGTGCCCACAGAGACTTGACTGTAGAAGGGCATACAGTCATGTAAGAAGATTGACAGTGGATTGGCTTCTTGTTTTGCGTGAGATTGCGTACAGTCAGAGACTATGAACCACAATTCTCAGTCATCTCTATGGTTAATTTTGCTCCTGTTAATACTGCCTCTTCAGTATAAATCTAAACCTCTTTTAAGATTTATTGTGACTGCAGTCTTTCTGTCTTGGTTCCATCTCGGTTTACAAAGATTGGATTTGTTTATGTTATGGTCTTGAGAATGGTTTTGATTTGTCATGAGGTTATGCTTATTTCCTTATATGTGGTTTTTAGTACAGGTTTTGGCAGACTTTATAGTATTGCAGGTAACTTGCTCCTATTACAACAGGAGAGTTTTATGCCAATAATTTGTACAATTGTATATTTTGTATTATAAAGCCACACTTCAGTCTTGCTTTGTTTTCCATGTAGTTTTGACCTAAATAATTTTGTACCTGAAAGCTGGAAGGAATTGTAGCTGAAAGCTGGAAGGAAATTAACTTATATTGAAGAGCTTGTTTTATTACCTTTGTGATAATATGCATTTTTGTAATGGAAAGCATTTTTTTTACTATTCCCATGACTTACATTCTCTAAAACACCATCTTCTGTATACTCTGTCTTTTTTTTTTAAATTTACGAGCCTTGTGCTTTAATAATGGCTGGGAATTGACTGGTTAGATTTTGGGCCACAAGGATATAGAGAAGATTAAATCTTTACAGACAAGTCATTGAGAAGTTTTGAGAAGTTCATTTCTGACAAGACATGACTGAGGAAGTGATAAATCCGAAAAGGGAAATAGTTCAAAAGCACTGTGGATTCTTACTGTGGAGTTAACTTTTTCCTTGTTTTCATTTTTGGCCATAAAAAATAAGTAAGGTCTGATTAAGCTAAGACTGAAAAAGAGATCCTATTTGGCAATTATAGCATTTTATTGAATTACTTTTTGGTATACACTTTAATTGCCTCTCGTTTTTTTTTAGTGATATGGTTCTTTGAAATGGAAAACTGCTAGAACTTTTTTTTAAATTCAATTTGTTAGTTACTGTTTGCTTTAAGAATACTTGACTTTTGTGTATTATTTTTGTGATAACTCTTTCTTTTCCCTTAGTATCCAACATGTTTATGGAGCTCAGCATCCACCTTTCGATCCATTATTGCATGGAACGTAAGTTATCCTAATATTCAAATATGCATGGCAATTTTTATATCCTCTAGCTTCTCTCTTCTCTCTCTTCCCTGTTGCCTAAAAAGCTCTTGTTAATCTTCCTTTCCAATTTTTGTCATAATCTTGACTTCTGTGTTCTAACTTCTCACTTGTGACTTTCTGATTCTTACCATTTGAGAGCAAATAAGCTGTGCAATATTTTGCCTAACAAAACATTGCAATTTTTTGTTATCTGTTTGCAGTGTCTTATAAATTAAAAAATTGTATAATAAATGCTAATCTTAACTTAGCAGGCGAAGTTTACACTTCAGGTGTAAGCTGCTTTCCTACATGCATCTCCCTGTTGATAGACTCCCTATTTCTTTTTCTGTGAAAGAAAGCTGATAAGAACCAGTCCTGAAGCGATTCAGGTTACAGTATGGATCATTTGGAGGTAAAGGTGGGCATTTTGCTGGCGAGCAAGAAGATAGTAGGTAGGATAGGAAAGATTTTGAAGTCATTAAAAAAATTATTGCCTCAAGTTATGATTATTGGGTATAGGAACACAATATATATGAGAATGGTAAAATTATATTAAAAATCATTAGTAGCCAAAAAAAAATTCGTGCTACTAACCCACAATTAATGCAACTGAACAATTTTCATCTCCTTACTGCTGAGTTGTCTAGCAGAATTAATTGCTGCATTCTAACAGCTTCTACTTTTTAAAGTTTTTTTTTTTTTAAATCTTTTTGGGAAGAGTTTACTTTAACCTTTGTCCTTTGTAAAGGACAAAGTTGTTTCTGGCTTGCTGGTACATGTCACAGCTCATCTAAGAGCAGCATTGCTGTTAAAATGGTGGTGAATGTGAGAATTTTAGAAAATTGTACAACTGGTAAATGAATCCCTAGAGGCAAGGAGGAGAAACATTAATTTTAGAAGGAAAAGTATTAGTTTGGAGGTATTACTTCTAGTGCAGTCTTTCAGGGGCTGGTTTGGAAAGTCGCAAGAAACAAGCATGTGTTAGTTTTTCAGATGATACAGAGTTCAAGGCATTTGAAATATTTGATCTTGAGGACTGGAAAAAAAAAGTGTATATATGGGATGAATTAGTTCAATATGTACAATCATACAGAGAGACCCAGTAAGAAAAACAGGAAGCTCATTGCTTGAAATGGTGATAGAAGAGGAGAAAGACCTTACTGTTTTAGATGATAACAACAAGTCTGGGGAAAAGGTATGTGTTGTAGGACCTCTTGTGAAAGAGATTGCCAGTAACGTGTAACAGTAATATTACTGACATTGTATCAGGCCTTGATGAAAACTTTTTTTCTGATGTCTCTGGCTGCCCGTGATGTTTCTGGCTGTCTTCTTTCAACAGAGGAAGATTAAACTAGGGGGGGTGGAAAGAAAGAGGTAATCATAAAGGATGATAAGTGAATGGCAGGATTTTTTTTTTTTTTTTTTTAAGAGAAGACTGGGAGACTGACTCAGCTTAATAACTTATTTAGCTGAAGACTGAAAGGAGATGTGATAGCTTTGTATTCCTGTAAATAAGGACAAGTGCCAAGCGAAGCAGAGACACTTAGTTCGTCTGTTCTTATGCTGCATGTTGACAGAAGGGCAAAAGGTTATGAGCTTGTCAGGGTACATTTAAACTAGTAACTGGAGGAAATATTCTGGCTATAAGAAGAATGACTTGAAGTTCTGAAGCAGATTCTTGCTAGAATGCCTGAGTGGAGAGGAATGATGGATCTAATGAGTTTTAAAATGGAACTTGATTTGTTTATGAGAGTGATTGTATTATATGATTGCTTGTGATGACTTAGGACTAGACTCGATGATTTGATTACTGCTCACGTATTGTTACACAGCAATTGCAATTGCCTGAAACCTCTATAGGAGTTCAAGAAGGAAGAAAACTAAAATGCGTCCTTTTTATCTTAAAAATGATTCCAGTAATATTCTTTTTGTTTGACTTTGGGCTTTTGTTTCTTATTCTTTTTGGACCTATTGAAATAAACATAATATTTAGTTTTTATGAAGTAGTAAATTGCAAATTTGAAAAAGTGTATTTTTTGAGACACAGAAGAGGGAAGGATTTGTTCAGCTTCCATTAGAAGCCATGGAGGGTTAGATTTCTACCTGTCTCTGTTTTTGGAAATTTTCCACTATCTGCTATTGTGGTTGGAAGCAGCAGCAATATGAGTGGGGAGCTGAGTAGTCGCTGCCTACATAATGCCAAGCCCAGATTTCTGGTTATTTGGCCTATCCTAGTGTGTCTCTTACTCCATTACCAGTTCTCTAAATATTGTTTGTTTGTTTTTTGAACAGCTTGATAAAAACAGGTTCAAAACCACCTACTACTCCAGTGAAGCTAAAGAAAGTCAGCACCTTCCAAGAATTTGAAAGTAACACAAGCGATGCTTGGGATCTTGGGGATGATGATGATGAACTCCTAGCAATAGCTGCTGAAAACTTAAATACTGAAGTGGTCATGGAAACAGCTCACAAAGTAATTCAGAATCACAGCAAATTACAAGAACAGCATAAATTGCAGGAGGAACAGCTACAGGAAGAAAAACAAGTAGAATCTGCAGAGCTATCTTCAATTGCATATGGTGATAATAGGCTTGTTAAATCAGTCAGTGAAGGTCATACATCAAGTTCATCAGGTATGTTAAGAAATGAAAAAAGGTGTTGAAAATGAAATTAGGGGTTTACAATATTTTCCTTTCAGGAGATTAACCCACTCCCAGCCTTTTCTTTGTACGTCAAGAAAATATTAATGATCAATATTAATTGATTTGAGGAGGATGCTGCATGTCATACTGAACTTTAAAGTATGTATATGAGAGATGCATGGAGGAGGGAAGAATAATCGACTTTGTATTTTCAGTTTTAATACATCTTTAGTTTTGGGAGGAAGTTGCACTCTTGAGCATATTTGAATGGTTAACTGCACCAAAATGTATACAATTAATAATAGCTTTAAGATATTTGTGCATTTGCAGAAAACTTATTATAAAATTGTTTCTCAGACAAATTTTGCAACTCTTAGTTGAAGATCCTGGGAATTATTACATGATTATAATCTGGTTCAGTAACGTCTTATGATATTCATTTTACCTCCCTTTTCGTAACTTCACCAAAGCTTCAGCCCTACATTCAGGGCAAATGCTTGCTTTTATATGAAGCTTTTGATAATGCTCTCTCTTGTCCAGATAGGCTTTGTCAAAGTAGGGTGCTTGTATACTGTAATTATTAAATATCTTGGAACAATAACTTTGATATTCTTGGTACTTAACTTTTACTTTCTTTTGAGATCGATACTGTATGAAGTGTATTGAAAAGTGAGAGGAACCGTTCATGTGGACTGGAATTGCACCTCATATGATTTGATCTGTATTTTCTCTATGAACTTCAAAGTAACCACTTGCAATGATTTCTCAGCTTTTTTAACAACGGTGGTAATGACAGGGAAACACCTTTCAAAAGCACTGAGATTTTAGAAATAAATTTCCTTGCTGTTGATATGATTTACTGTTTAAATAAAGTATGACCTCTAATTGATGTATTTTAACTGTGGAACACTACTTGAGGGAAGAATGCTGCTCCTGCTAACCCTTAGTCATCTGAAGTTCAAAACTTGAGCTGTACTTGAGAGAATTTTCTCCAGAATGTAATTCTATGTAAGTTCACTGAATCAGAATAAATTCAAGTTATTAGTAACCTCCTCATTGCCTGAGGCTAATCTATGCTTCTTTTTCCCTTCAGATAATGCTAGTGAAAATTCTTCCATGCAGAGATCACAGTCCCTTCCACAAACTTCCACACCTCCCTTGGTGAGTGGAATGACAGACCATAATACTTCAGTTACTCCTGCATTAACTGAAAGAGAAGCATCCCGATTAGACAAATTTAAGCAGCTGCTTGCTGGCCCTAACACAGATCTTGGTGAGTATCTATGAATCATCTAAGAATCTATGAATGTCATCTAAATAACTGAGAGAGACACACAACAAACGTTGTTGTTTGACATACTGTTTTGCCTAATGGTTTAGTTAAAATTTCCCTTCAACATTTAGAATTGGCTTTGTAAACGAAGGGCAAACTGTAATTTGAATGCTTTATGCTTGTAGTAGGCAGTTTGCTTGCATCGTATTAATATGTTCTTTATATGACCTAGATGTTATATGGCTTTTTATTCTGTCCTTTCTCAAATTATTTCTTTCTATTGGACTAACTCTGGAGGAAAAAAAAAAGCAGAATCAGCTGCGTTTAGTATTATTGCTTGATAATGGAACAGCATGCGGTATAATAATGATTTTTATGCTTACAAAAATGAATACAAAAAGTGATTAGACAATGAAGTGTTACTCCCTGTCTTCACAGTAAGTATTCTTCACATTCACAGGCTGATACAGTAGTTAGGTGTAATCCATGAATGCTGACAATATGTTTATGTGAAAACAACTTTATTGTCAGATAGCAGACTGTTCCTTTTGTGCGTTAGATTTTAACTGCTGAAAGGTAAATATAAATAACTGCTGATCTAATAAATCTCTGCTTAAAACTGCTCCTGGAGTATGAAAAATGAGTATTGCAGTGGTTGACTGCTTCCAGGGCTCATTGCTGAAATTACAGCTGCTTATGCTGAGAGACTATTACAGAATCAAGTGGTTTTGTAACCTAAGTGAAAATCTGGAGAGACTAGAAATAGCACACTGTATTTGGATAACTTGGCTAGTTGCTTAGAAGTAGGAGTTTATGCCAAAATAATTAATAAACAAGGTGACTTTGAGTTAGACCGTTCTGGAAGATATCTCCAGGAAACAATTACGGAAGGAAGTTGTAACTGCATGTTTGTAGTTTTCGAATTGACACTTCTCTACGCAGCAGTTGTCATGAGACTTCTTCAATACAATATTATCAGTTGTGGCTTTTTTCTTTTTCTGCTGTGTCTTAATGAGATTGGTGCCAGCAGAGTAGAACTTGGAAAACGGTGCTATTGATAACTGTTGGTAAGACCAGATTTAGAACTTCAGTGAGTTATAGGACATTCCTATAAAACGGAACTGTGAATAAACTATGAGGTGTTAAAAATTCCATGTTTCATATAAGCTTAAAAATTATAATCCAACATCACTTTTTCTCCCTTTGTGATCTGGTAGATGTTAGGTAGAAATACTTTCCGAGCTAGTCAAATTTAAAGATTAAAATGAAATATTTTGGAGTGGAGGCAAGGAAGTTTTACACAGTTCTTAGGATTGCAGTCATTGTGGCTAAAATGAGAGTTTCATAAATATTTTTAAACTAATTTAAGTTTTGTTGTTTTCCTATTGAACTAAATTTTGCATAGGAATATACATAGGAACACAAAATGTGAATATATTGTATTGAAAATATATTGTTACTGATGGCTTTATTAAATTGTGGAACACATAATATACTCAGTATTTTTTTTGAAGCAGTTGCTACAAAATAGTGTTCGTATGAAAGTCATTGATTCTTTTGCTATACAAACTTAAATTAGTGCAGAATTTGATGTTTAGTGTGAATTATTGTTTTTAAGTCAAATTTTGAATTTTTGCACATATTTTAACTTTTAATTGTAGCTAGGATATTTCTAGTAGCATTTCCTAGTAAGAATGGGAATATATATAAAACATATATAATCGTGTTTTATATGATCTTTCTTAGCTAAAAATGAGCTATTTATTTCCCACAGACAAATTCTTGATGATCATAAAGCTGCATGTGATAGTAGTGCTTGGGCAATATAGATATGTGCATGTAGGGAAGATATAGGGGGGTGTGTGTGTATGTATATAGGCATATATAAATATGCGTGTGTGCATAAATATGCTTACACACATATATGTATATGCATGTGACCATATATGCAGTTCATCAGAATCTGGTGTGCCTTTGTTTTTGTGTATATGTTTTTTAGGAGATGTTTATTCTAGCTCCATGTTACCATACAGATGATCTTTAAAAAGGATTTTTGATTTTTAATCATGTTAGAAGCGTGGGAAACTGCATTTTTTTTTTATTCCAGAAATGCTGAGAGTGAACTAAGGTGGAACTAGATACTGGGCTCTAAGATAAGATTTGCAGTGAGTATAGAGGTCACAAGTAGCTATTCTATTGTAGCTGGCTCCTCCTTTTTGAGTGCGTATGTATATTGTGCTGTGGTATGTTTGGGTCGTCTTGTTTTGTGGTACACCCACAAATGGTTGGGTTCTGCTTGTCATGATGGTCTGAATTAGTGGGCAGTCATCTTGGAGACACCTTGGCAAAAATTTCTGTTCACTTCTGGTTCTTATAAAGTCATGTTGGCTTTGCTTGGTGAACAGTAGTGGTAACAGCAGAGCATTACTGTTGACTTTATTTTCTTGAGGTAGATTTCTGTATTGTTCAGAGAGATTACGCAACAGGTCCTTCCAGAGCAATATAAAAAAAAATAAGATAGTAAACTGTGGAATTGAAACAATGACATGCACATTTTCAACTAGAGGCTTTTCTCCTGTCATAATAGGAGAAATGAACATAGGCTAAGAACACAAAGTAGTGCAACTGACCTTGAAATCCTTTCATTCACACTTGAATAGTCACTCTCCAATATCTTGTAATATGCAATGTTAGTCTTGTATGTCAACTAGAGAGCATGAAAGAGGGTGTTCTCTTTCACAAAGCTTAAGAGTTCTCAAAAAGATGAATTATGAATATAAATTGGGAAGTGCTGATTATTTTAGCCATTTGAGTCTATTAGCAGATTTTGGAGTCTGGCTTTGTTCTGTGGGGGGGATATTGTGAAGCTGTAGAAGTAGGTGGATTCCATCAACCCCATCAATTACATCCTGAATGAAATAATACACAAGAAATAGACTGTAGTCAGGATTTGAATCATGTGGTGATTATTACAAGCGTATAGTGACAGCACCATTCTCAAAGTTTGTGTATACAGTTTTATCCAGCAGACAGGTAAATGCACAAATAGATGAGAAGAAATACACAATTTTATATGAGAAGAAATAAAGAACGTGAGCTAGAAAAGGAAGAAGAAGCCCCAGAACTGCCAATGAGTGGCATTTTCTCATCTGTGTGCGTCTGAATATTGTTATTAGAAATAAAAGAGTGAGTTCTTTTAAATTACTTAACTCTTATTTATGAAAAAAAGAGCCTATGTCTGTGGCTCAGAAGTGCCTCTGACTGATTTTTTTTTAATATATATTTTGTACAGCTGACCTAATAAACTCACTGTTGTAACTTCTAATTGCCTTTGTAGTTGTTCTGATTCCTCCCTTAAGCCCTCCTAACCCACTTTACTGCTCTGTCTTGCAGGCATCTTTGTTGTTTGCATGCTAAGAAGTGGCAAATAATATGCCTTATTTCCATTTCCACTTTGTATTTGGCTATTGCTATGTTCTCTTGTAAATGGAAAAAGTATAAAATAAATTGGGTATCAAGAGTAGTTAGCTGTGTAAAAAAACAAACAAAAAACCCCAGTTCCTATAGAAATGATACTTCTAGAAATGATTTATGCTGCAGGAGAGAAGCATTCAAAAACCCTACCAATACACCTCCAAGTATTAATATAATACCAAGAATGGGAACGTAATCTCATAAAATTAAAATTACAAAAAGAAACCTCCTATACAAGTTAGATCATATTATGGTAAGAAATGTGTGCTGGTAGAAGGGACCTGTTGTAAGAAACAGTTTTAGTTAGAGAGGGATTTGGCGTTGGCCCACCTCAAGTAGATCATATTGAAGTGTACTGTGCGCAGATTCCGGAAGAAGGATCAGTCTGGAGATGGCAATACAGCGGTGGTTAGTGGAGAGCCACTGAGTAGGTTGTAGGGCCTGTGTGTCTGCATAGTCTTCCAGTGTTGGTACTGCGTGCCACGTTACTCAAAAGGAATAATTTGCAGTGCACTAATTACTTGGTGTAATTTACCTGTGCTTATTCTTACCTTGAAGTAAATTCAGAATAGATTTACTCCGTTTCAGGCCTTGGCTTTCCTTGCAGTAGACCTTGAGTTACTGAACAGAGATGGGCTCTTTTCCTTTTGCTTCCAGAATGTTTTGCAAACAATTGGTTGCTTTAAGGGGAGGGAAGAGACTTTTAACAGAACAGTTTTGGGAGGCTGTCTTTGAGAAGAATTTTCTCTAACCCTTTCCTTCGATAGGTTACTGTTTACATATATAAGAGGGACAGTACTACTATGTCTGTCTAGTTTCCAATTTAAGTTTAGTTCTATGAAATTTATTGGATGTGTATTTTTAAGTAGTCTTGCACAATGTTTTAGGGAGTTATGTTTGCACAGCAAAAACAATGTAAGCAAAATAAGTAAGGGAGCTGTATTGATAAAGATCAAACTAATTTGTAACTACCAGCAAGTTATCTCATACTTGTAATCTCAACATGGCAAACATATGATGGGTTTTGTGATATCACTTTAAAGAATGGCTTGTTAGAATACTCCTTATCTTTAAAGCGACTAATTTTGTGCCCTTTTTCACACGCATTAGAGCTAATGAATATGCAGATTATTTGTTTTGATTATACATGTTTCTGGCATTCAGGAACCAACAGTAAGCCTGCTGTACGGTATTCTGTTGATTTAATAGAACTTCATAACATTGTGATGTTAGCTGTGCAGTGTAACACATGTATATTAAATACTTCAAAGTCAAAACAACCTGTCTTTTAAGGTGTTCTATTTTAAACGTTAAAGTGACTTTTCTTTCTACTTAATCACAATGTATTCCAATCTGAACAAATTAGCATATTTTTTAGCATATTGCCTTGGTAAAAGTAGTAAAAAGTTCTATAAATACACCCATGAAAGTGGTAAATCATTACTATTTTAAGTTACTAATATTGCTGTATCTTATAGTCACCATCAAAAGTCTATCTCGTTACCCTTTTTCAAGTCATGTGTGCT